AAATTATGAACATTGCCCAACATCATGAAAATTAAACCTTATTTTCAATAAGCAATCCTGAAAAATATTTGGGGGTGCTTAACTTTTTTCCAGGTGTATATATATATAGTTCTCTTTAGTACTTGTTTATTTCCCTACTCCTACAGTTGAGCTCAGGAGACTTCATCTGTCTTTTAATGCCAGTTGCAGGATGTGTGATACACTGTTTCTATGGTTGAACAGATGTCCCACATTCTACTCATAATACAAGATGCATATGGTTTCTTCCTTGCTCTTACAGTTGAGTGGTTCTTGTTCTTTTCCTACTCATAATACCAGCTATAAAATGAATCCCTGTTCTTATGGTTGAGTTGAGATTCACACATGCCCCATAATTGCAGTTTCAGTTTAATGTACTTCCTAACTCGTATGGTTGTTGTGGAAATTTGTCTGACAATTGTCATTTGCTTATTTCCTCATTGTAATTCCGGTTGCTTGCAGTATAGCACTCAATTTACTTGCGGTTGTGGTTTGTGTAAATATATTGTTCATGGTCTGCTTGCCCTGGCCATGTTACATTGTATATAATCTATTTGTGTCTTCAACACTATCTTCCACCTCATAATACCAAGGATGGGACATGGAACCTTGTTTGTCCGGTTGGGGTTTGAGAGAGTCCTGCTCCAATGTTTTCCAAGGCCTTTCATTAGTGGTTTGGTCCTCGATGTCGCCATTTCACGACACTTCACTTCTTCAAGGGTGAAAGGCATACCTGTTCCAGATATGGTGGTCTTCCTTACATATGCTTTTGTTCAATTACTGAGCACACCTATTCGATTCCCTGTGGATGCTTTCCATAGGGGGTCTCTTGCTTCTATGCTACTCCGGTCCCTCCACCTACTCAGTGTGGGATTCTAGTTTTTGTGTGAACGGAGGTATGTATCACATCGGAAGTTATCATTTTCCTACATAAAAGATGGATATTTACCTGTTCTCACACACTTCCCACCCTTCCTCCCCACTTTCGGTGTTTTCCTATTTTTTGGTGTGCCTAATCTCAAAAGTAAGGTAACAAAATGTAATACAGAGGGATCCAGCTGCTCTGGGAGTGTGTGTGTCATGCTCCTATTGGTGGATGGTCATCTTATGCACTATGCATGCTAAATGAGCAGTTTGAATTGTGAGAAAAATTTCTTTTCAGTGCATTAGAGGGCAAAAAAAAAAACAAGAAAAGTTTTTGTGTGAGAGAGGTATCTATTTTCAGTATATGAAAATGATAACTTCCAAGGAATTGGTGAATAATAGTTTTCATTTATCATATTTTGTTGTGTATATTACCAAGAAAGTAAAGCAAATAATTGGTATTTCCTTATTTATCTGTTTTGGCTAAATAGGCCAAGAAAATATCTCTTTGCTCCAAGATGTCTTATAGTATATTGTGTTACTATGTTAGTTAATCACAGACCCTTAATATTTGGTTTAAAGACTAGATTACTTATATATAAGGACAATTTCAGTTGTCTTCATCTATCTCATGTACAGCCCCATTCTTTATTTCATCAAGGTAATTTGACTACATAATTCATAGCGGATAAGTAAGAAAGTATTTAAATAGTACAGTTTCTGTACTTTAAACAGTAGTTCACCTACCTTCCTTATAATTCCCATCACAACTAGTTTCACAGATTGAATTAACTGTAGTAACTTCTTCTAATGCTAAATTATTCTCAAGCTTTCTAGTTGTGGTGGTTCTGTAACTTTCCACACATTTTAGATTGGATATTATGAAAATCGAGAAGTATCATAAAGTTCAATAGTGAGCAAATGGAGGGAGAGAAGAGTTCTGAATATAATCAGTAATTAAGGAATTGTGATGCAAGAGTAAGTTTTTTTTAATTGTATTTTATTCAAAACGACATTAGTTGTACATTTCTTTGTTAATCTAAAAAATAATTTAGTCACCTAAATGTGTATATTTGATTTTCTAGGACTGCTGTGATGGCTGTAAAATAGGACTTATTGTGGCTGGTATGAATATGCCATGTCTTCTCAGCAATTTTCCTTTTCAATCTCCTTGGCATGAAGCTTACATTGACTGTTGCAGTTTGAATTATAACTCACAAGGAGGTATTCTATTTTATTTCAGTTTTTATCTCATTTTGTGATTGTAATTTTGTTATTTATATTGACTATCTGTTTTTTTTTGTTTTTTTAATGAATTATTTTTTAAATGAGGTTCTCTTTGGAACAAAAATCCTTGAAGGTTATTAAAAATGACAAATTTGACCACAAATTATTCATGCATAAGCTGTTACGTTTTAGAAATTAAGGTAAGCATTATAACTGTCAAATTATTATCATATTCATTACAAATAAGGTACCTTTTTTTTATATTGTTAAGTAATGCTTTTATTTTAATTGACTTATGTCTCCATATCCATGATAGTTTGTGGAATTAATGAGAAAATTGTAAGTTGAGTATTTAATGCTAATAATTTAAGCAATAAATAAAATCACAACAGTATTTAAGACCACTCAGAGTAGCAACTTGTAATAATTTCATTTTAATATTTGCTTACACACCCAGTGAATGTTCTATCAACTAAGCTAAAGGGTCAATCTTCTAGCATTTGCTAGAAAGACACTTTTTTTAACAACTCAAGCTGCTACAAACTAAGCTTTTGAATTAACTAATTTGTTTGCTCTCTTCATTTAAATGAACTTAATTAGGACATCCAGTCCATCAAAAAAAAAAAAGATGTGGTGTGTAAGTGCATTAATCTAGACAACACAGTGGTAACTGCTGTCATCCATTTTGAAGAGATTTTACAACATAACGATGCACTTAATACATCAGCAGGGTACAAGACAAGTGTCCTCATCATAGGAAAAAAACAAGAAACTTATATGAGGTTTTTATACTGATTAAATATTTTTGGTAAAATCATAAAGTTATAGACAGTTTTCCAAACTTTGACACATATTGCCTGTATGGTATTGTTATGTATCTGCTCGTTTGTTAATTTCCTATAGAAATTCTTTCTGAGAAACTTCAGCGATACTAGTTCTTTCTTAATTAAAACTAGTTTATTCTTTCTTGTTACAAACTTTGTAATACA